TTTCACGACAAAAACGCATGTCCATAGTTAGCAAGCAATCACGTGAACTTATAAATTCCTGAACGCTCATAACTTGCCGTCGCTAAACGCCATTCATTCATAGCGTCATCATTGCAAATAAACGCCTCCCTATTTCTTCTAATGGTTTTCATAATATTCCTCCTAAGCTGTACTTACAACATTATGTGTGTCGGTACTTCCGAAAATATTGCAACGGCGTTTGTTTTCTGGGAACCCCCCCCCCCCCTCCCCCCCTGTGATGTAACAACCTTTACAACATCTTCCGAATCCCATGAAACACAATATATCGTGACGTTATTTTAGTCGTCATTAAAATGGTGAGGTAAGTACCGTAAATCGCGAAGCCGTTCACTAGACGTCCGCTTCCACGGTGTCATGGAAGATTGAGTCTACTGAGCGTGCATTCCAGCAGAAGAAATTTTCATTGATAGAATATTGACACGTCAATCAACATATGATTCCTTCTTGGTAAGATTTATTGCGAAAGCCCGTTACAACCGCCGAACACCATCTTCCTATACCAGAGAACAATTTATACCCAGCCTGACATTCTCAGATACATCCGTTTGATGGGCCACGATATACTTGAGCTATACTTCGTTTCAGCTTCGGTCCAGACGCAGCCGATGCTACAAGCGCGAGCATGTGGCCCAGAACAGTGTTTGCACTGCACGAGCGCGCGTGCTTGGCAGTGATGCTGAAAGCCCGGAGCTCGCGCTTGTAGCTTTGGCTGCGTCTGGACCGAAGCTGAAACTAAGTATAGCTGAGCACAGCTGGCAGCGGCGCGAGCAAGGCCACGAGGGGAACGTGATGGTGCTCGAGCCAGCCCACTGTTAACCAATGTTTCGGCCACCCCACGGGTACGTGTCGCCATCTATTGGTTGAACTAACGCCTTGTTCAAGATGGCTGCCGTGGGACCGCAGCCTTAAGCATGTTTGCACGTCACAGGTTTCCCAAAGACCACACTCGGCGTGCCGCGTGGGAGCGTGCGCTCGGCGGGGGAATGGTTGGTCGCCTAATACTTACGTTCTTTGTTCGGTATACTTCGATGATGACTGCTTTGATGCAAGCGGTCAAATGAGAAGACTTTGACTGGGTAGCAGTCCGTCTGTGCTCCTTGCATTTCCAGCATACCTGCGGAAAGCAGTGAGTATCGTAGCGATTGTGAACGCTTATTTTGTATTTTAGTGACTTGCATCTAAAACACGAGACGGTGCACCTATAACAGACGTGCATTTGCAGAACAAGTACTATAAACGACTTTATTTTCGCGAGCTTGATATTTCTCTAATTTCTCGAAGTGCTGGTTTCGGCGATAGTTCACGTGCATAATTTTCGCGAACGTAAGAGATATGCCGTGTATTCATTGCGAAACCCTCAAATAGGCTGAATACAACTGGATAGCGAGTTGCTGCCAAGATAAAGCAGTTTGCATCGGTTTATTTGAGTGTTTTATAACTGTTCTGTGAAAAAAAAAATTCAGTACTTTTTCACTGATTTTGCCTCTGTCAGCAGCCTGCCGGGGAGCAATGACTCTTTCAGCTTAGTTAATTTACTGTATTCAACTCATCATCGTGAGCGTTATGTTTTTTGTAAGAGCTGTAACTCCCCCCCCCCCCCCCCCCCCCCCCCCCCCCCCGCGAAAAAAATTCCTGGCTACGGCACTGGTTAGTGTATAGGTCGCATGAAGTCGAGGAAGAATTAAAAAAGTTCTTATCCATTCCCAAGTCGGTAGATGCACGCAAATTACTCGCATCGTTTCATAGAGTTATCTCAAAACTCTCCGGGTCTGGTCAAGATTAGCTCGCACCATGACACAAATCAAACCAATAGGAAGACAGACTCGTTCCAATTATGCCGATGGGATCATCTATGCTTATTGCCTTCAGGTAACTCAAATCATGGAAGTGTAATGCCGCAGACGAGCTAGTCGAAGTTCAGTTGGTGTACTGAGCGTTGCAACTGGGTCAAAATAACTGGTGGGATATAAGACAGAAAAAAAATATATAAACCAACGCACTGTCTCCTAACAAGCAGACACGAAGTCTGGGCAAACGCGCAGTTCCAACGCGATGTGCAGGGCACTGCGTGCGAGCAGGAAACAGATTCGCGTAAAGCGTCTGTGCATGCGCCCTGCCAATGTGGAGCGCAAGTTCGTCTGCCTCTTTTGGAGCGGTTGTGGTGACGTCAGAACGCCGAGCTCCGATTGGCTCCGATGGAAGGGTAGTGAAGAGCCAATCAGGGCACGGCTTTCTGACGTCCTCCCCACGACCACTCCAAAAGAAGCAAGCGAACTTGCGCTCCGTATAGCACTGCCACCGCAGCGGTGTATATATCAGTGTTGGACAAGATACTCGACTGTATTATTTAAGATAGGTTACTACATACCGTTTTCCTGAAGTATTTGGAGTGCTATACTCAAGTTACTCTTTTTTGCAAAGTGTCTCGAGTGGAGTACGAATACTTAGAAATGTAATTCAATTCTTTTCGAAGATACTTTCGCATTGCGTAATTTGTATTTGACTTCAGTGACACCGGAATACTTTATTTTCAAGCAACAGAAGCAAACAAAACAAAATTGCAGTGAAATGTTATGCGGGCCCAGTGGAAAGGGGTAGCATCCCGGGTGCATGTTACAAGGTAAAAGATTTTATAAGACAAATGAACAAAAAGAGGTCATTCTATCTAGTCACACAGCTAAAAATCACATCTTCTAGTGGTTTTTGAATTCACACATTGGACGCACCGCTTCACTAAGCGCCGTAGTCGCTACCATCTTGAGTTTTATATTTGCAAAAGAATGAATAGGGATAACAGGAATGACCCAAATATAGTAGGCACGGCACTCGCCGCGCCTTTTTCAGGTACCCAGAGCTGCATTCAGATCTGACTGAATTTCAAAAAGAAAGGTAGAAGGGGGACGCAGGGAAGGGCTGATGGCTTTCTCGCGCCATTCGACTTGTTTATTCTTTTCGCCATACTATGTTCTTTTGTCTGCATTTTGAGAGCTCATCCTGCTCGTAGCTTCTTTCCTACCTTGGTGTTAAAATCTCTGTCCTTGTGAAGGGTCGGGTTATCACGGTTTTCAAACAGACAGTCCCCAAAAGTAACTGACGTTCGTATTTTAGTAAAATCAAACATCAAATAACAAAAAAAAAAAAGCTCAGTTTTTTTCTTTTTTTCTTTCGTCTTTTTTTTTTTTCGCATCTCCTTTTGTTTTCATTTTGAGTCTGCATTTTCCGTCTTGGCTTGTTTCCTGCAGTGTTCGGCCGTTTCCGCTTCAAGTTTGTGATCGGTTTAATGACTCTGCGCTTGGGTGTTTCCGTAAAATATTCCCGCGACACGTTGTTTCTTCAAATATTGAAAAATGTATTTGAGATAATGAATGCGATATACTGAGAAGTGTAGTCAAGATAGAGTAGTAAATACTCTAGATCAAATGCATTTGCAAGATACCAAATTACAAACCTGATTGAAATGCAGTATCTTGAGTAGAGTATTTGAGATAGGCACAGGTCTGGAATGTATATAGGGTGTTTGATTTTAATTCGAACAAACATACATACAGGGTGTTTTGTTTTAAGCTTAACAGATTTCTTTAAAAAAAAAAGCTGCGAAAGCCACACTTATGCGGTTTGTTCGGGTGAGTTATTCGGTCAGGGGGACATAGTATATGGGGCTAATCACAACAATCAGTCGGCAAATTAACTAAAATTTGTTAATTAACTTTTTAATTAGGGAATATAGACCTATAGTTCCGATTAAGAACTTGCTGGGCGTTATCGAAAACCACTAAATCAGTCGTTTTCAGAAAGACTTTGAGCGTTTGAGAAGCGTAGTAGTGCACTAAAGTTATCACTCGTAGAGCAGGTACAAGGCTAGCGCCTGCTGTAAGGCGCCGGCGTGATTTTTCCGTCTCTTATCTAGCCTCAGCCTTGTACCTGCTCCACGAGTGGTAACTTTAGCGCACTGCAGCGCTTCTCACGCACTCAAAGTCTTTCTGAAAATTACTGATTTAGGGGGTTTGGACGTCGCTCAGCAAATTTCTAATTGGAACCATATGTCTAATTTCACTAATTAAAAAGTTAATTAACAAAATTTTAATTAATTATCCGACTGATCGTAATGAATATGCCCTATACTATGTCCCCCTGGCCGTGTAACTGACCTGAACAGACCGCATAAGTGTAGATTTCCCAGCTTTTTTTTTAAGCAAATCTGTTAAGCTTAAGAAACACCCTATATATATATACAGGGTGCTTCACAAAACGTGGACAAGTTCGACATTGCGAAAACTATTGTCGCAACAAAAAAGGCTTTTGTCGGTTTGGTCCTGGGCCAGGGGCCTATTTAGAAAAATTATTAAAGTCCGGGATAATTAGATTGTAATTATTTTTGAGTAATTAACTTTTTTTAAATTTTGTTTAATGGCATGGTTTCAATTAGAAAATTGCTCAGCACCATCAAAAAGCATTAAATCAACAAATTGCAGAACAATAGAAGGCACGCGAAGCATTTAACGGCTTCCTAAAAAAACGCACAAATTCGACGGGTTTTTAAGTTTCGGTCTGCTATCGGAGCGCATCTCGGCCCCGGTGGCGCCGCGCCCCGTGGAGAGAAAGTGCAACCAACCTCTGCTGCGTTGTCATCGCGCAACGCAGCAGAGGCTGGTTGCTCTAATGTGACATGCGGAATCGCCGGATGCCAGATTATTCACGCGAAGTTTTGTGGTGTAACGAGCTTGGGTAATTTCGCTGAGGCCGCTCAAGTAGTCAGACATTACCAGGAGACGTAGAATCAACAATTCGAACGCGAAAAAGGACAGGGGAACTCACTTTCACGCCGACAACATCGCATTTCAATGGTTTGTTTGTGGGCGATGGTGAGCTTCTTGCACACACTCCAACGCGCATGCGCGGCGCCGGTGATGTCCGATAGGGGCGCTCCGGTTTGTTTGTAGACATGAGTTGGTGTATACTCGACAGTTGAAAAGTCATGGGCCATTTATTACCTCAAGAATAAAGAAGACTATAAATGTTGCTTTTTTCTTTTTTTTTTTCGTGAATATTATACATAAAATAATTTCTTTAGGTGTGGGGAATTTATCTCCTAGTTAAATGTACCGCTAAGAATTTTCTGCCTCAAGCGGGATGTTGTCGTTTAGTCGCACTGCACACCAGCACCATTTTCCGCACCCTTAATTTATGCACCCTTCTACAAGTAGTGGATAGGCATTATGCACCATCACGTTACAATATATATTAATCGGCTTAAAGGTGTTTTAACGTGAATATTCATGAAACGCCCTTTAAATATGCAGTGTGAAAAAAATATCAGTTAAGAATATCTCAGGTGGCTCTCAAGATGACAGCGCATACTTCCGGAACGAGCGTAGCCTTCAAGATATTAGGCACATTTCCGAAGTGTTGACTCAGCACAAGTATCCCGAGGGCATTATTCCTTATCAAGTTTATAACACTTGGTTTCTGTACTATACAAGCTTTAACAGATTTAGTGATCGGAAGTTGGTCACGGGTCAAAGGCCTCTCCTCGAACAAACCTCGTAATCATGTCCAAGGCCACCTCCGGTTGATCGTAAGGAACGAAGTGGCCTGCATTTCTCACTAAAACCTCGGTAAACTGTCCAACCTGTCTGACAAAGCCAGCGACGTCTTGCCCATTAGGAGACAGCCAAATCTGCCTTGGCACATTGCTGAATGCCTCAGCGCCCGACCATGAGACGGTCGAGATCATGTTCACTGTAAGTGGGTACGGTACGATGATGTCCAGTTGACCGTTGTAGATCAACACCTTGTACTCTTCCATAAGAGCAGCGAGCCAGAGCTTCACAGATTTCGCTAGATCGACAAAAAGATTCGTCACTACCATCTTTGATTCCTCGCTAAAAGTAAGATTCCCAACGTGGATCGCATCTCGAACGACAGGCGTTTGCACAAACTCGACGAAGTTGTTCCAGTCCTTGGGCATCTTGGCTTGCAAGAAATTGAAGTAGTTGTCGAAACCCGTAACGTTTCTAAAGTAGCACGTAGAATTGGCGCCACATATAAGAATAGAATTGAATGTTTTGACAGCGTCGGCGTAGCGCTCGTTTTGGATGAAGCGCTTGACTTCGTCGCACCGCTGTCGAAGTACTACGGCTTGGTTGCGGTCCACAAGGCCTATCTGGTAGAGGTAGTCCGCATAGTCCAGCATGGATTCCGGGTCCACCAAACCATTGCCGATTGCGATGCCCTTGAGGTTGAATTGGACTCTCGGCTGCACGGCCGTGTGGATAGCGTATGCAACGGCCGGGACGTATTTGCCTGTGTTCAATGGGAGCAATAAAGGAGAGTTAAACAAATCAATAACTGACACCAAAGCGCGAAAGTTGGCCTTCTAACTTGTAATTTGACAATTTATAATTGATAAGTGTATATGAAGATAATTGTGTTCTAGATTATTAATTTAAATTATTGATAGTGTTAATCAGTCTTCCCGTTTTCACGGGAGAAAAAGATGAGTTGTAAGCATACAAAACGTGCACATGTGATATGACTAGGTACACACCTATAAACAACGTCATTCGATAAATCACAAACGATTCATACATCAGAAATAAGAATTAAACAACCCTTAATTGTATATTTTACAACGAAAGAGCATTCTTTTTCGCGTTATTTGAGAAAATATTAAAAAAATGAAATTAAATGCACTCCGAAAATATTTTGTAAAAAACTACGCCCCCCCCCCCAAAAAAAAAAAAAAAAAAAGTATAATACAAAGCTACTACCGTAATCTATAATATGCAGGAATGCCAGGCTTCTATTAAAACACAGTACATGTGATATGGTTGACGAATTGAGCAAGCTGGTCTGAAACCGTCAAGGCATTTCCAATCTATCACAGCCTGGTGGAGGTTCGCCCAGTTTGAAGTCGTTCTGGGAAAAAATAATATAGGAAAGTATCCTTGTTTGTTATTTCTCCCATTGGCTGTGCAGTGTGAGATTTCCTGTGAGGCCTGTATTGATCGGGCAATTAATGCGTGAGTGCCTTTGTACTACATATATATATTTATTCAATAACAAAGGAAACATTTAGCCTAGCAATCTTTTACCGGCACGAGGGAAGGTAAAGACAATTCGGCAAGCATACGCGTGATTTTGAAAGAAACTGTTCTGTTCCACCTAGCAAAAATGACTTTTTTTACACTTTTCAAGTTTTTAGTATCTTTAATGGTTCCTATTGAAATGATCTATACTCAATGGTTCGTCGCTTTCACATTTTATAACTAATTTCTCTTGCTTCAACAGGAGGCGGCCTAATGTTGCGCGTTAGAATCAGAAGTATTTCATTACGATCTAGCATAGATTATAAGCGCGTCTAGCTAAACTGAAGTGACGCCTAAGTATTTCAGCGGTGAACTTCACCTCAAGTAGAATCTTCAAATTCGTGGGCACATATGACAATTTGCTGATCGTTATAATACTGGTATATTGCAATTTATTTTAATTTTTCATCCTCCGCCTTTTCCCAGTAATCTTTAGAGATAAGTTTAGTTATGATAATTAAAAACACTTGATTATCTTTGGTACAATTTTAAGCATCACGAATTTCTATAAAAATTAGGCTATTTCATGCCCGTATTACCTAAAAAGACGCCTTTGAAGTTGTGAACTTCAGACCACGCTTCTCCGCGGGAGCGGGAGAGGGAAGTAAAAGAGAAGGAAAAACATGACGTCACGAAAGGTGCTTCACGCGTGCCCCTCGGCTCGCACGACGCTGGCTCGCAGAGCCAGCGTTGAGCTAGTTGGTGATTCGTGCTTCTGAACGATGCCAGATGAACGTAGGAAGATAAACGAAAAGAGAGAGAGAGAGAGAAAGAGATAAAGAAAAGAGGAGATACACACTGATGGACTAGCAACGATTTGCTGAAGATATTTTACACTCATTAGTTTCATATCTCGGAACTAATGGTGTGAAAAAAGACGAGGTTTATCTTATAGGAAATACTTCCTATACTTTGTTTCACCCTAAGTTCGAGCGTGGCCGATGTTATGAGCCGAACGGCCAATCAAACAGTGCAAGAAGCGCCACGTCATGGCGTACTCTCTACGCTCAATAGGTTGAGCCGGCGGAGGAGCACGCATAGAAAGACGGCGAACACAGCCTGGTCCTAACAACTGCGGAGAGCACGCCATGACGTTGTGCCTTTTTTGCTGTTTGATTGGCCCTTCGGCTCATAATATCGACCGCGCTCGGACCTAAGCTGAAACCAAGTATAGTCCAGGGTCTCTAAACTCGTCAAACAAAGAGTAGGGGACGAAGTTCACGGAGCGCACCGATTGGACTATGTCGACGATGACTTAGCGCTTTTGTCGCCGGCGTCCAATCGGCGCGCTCTTCGAACTTTCGGCTCCAACTTTTTGCTTGACGAGTTTAGGGCCCCAGGGGCCCTAAACTCGTCGAACACAAAGTTGGAGCCCAAAGTTCGCGGAGCGCGCCGATTGGACGCCGCCGAAAAAAGCGCCAAGTCATCGTCGGGATCGTCCAATCGGTGCGTTCCGTGAACTTCGGCCCAAACTTTGTGTTCGACGAGTTTAGCACCCCAGGGGCCTTAAACTCGTGAAACACAAAGTTGGAGCCGAAGTTGGCAAAGTGCGCCGATTGGACAACCACGACGATGACTTGGCGCTTTTCTCGTCGACGTCCCATCGCTGCGCTCCGCGAACTTTCGGCTACAACTTTCTGTTTGACGAGTTTAGGGCTCCAGGGCCTCTAAACTCGTCAAACAGAAAGTTAGGGCCGAAGTTGAAGGAGCGCACCGATTGGACTATCACGACGATGACTTCGCACTTTTTTCGTTGACGTCCAATCGCCGCGCTCCGCCAACTTTTGGCTCCAACTTTGTGTTTGACGAGTTTAGGGCCCCTGGGTTCCTAAACTCGTCAAACACGAAGTTGTAACCGAAAGTTCGCGGAGCGTGCCGATTGGACGTCGGCGAAAAAATCGCGAAGTCATGGTCGTGATTGTCCAATCGGCGCGCTCCGTCAACTTCGGTTCCAACTTTGTATTTGACGAGTTTGGGGCCCCTGCAGGTCCGAGCATCTTTCTACAGAGAAGGCAAACATCACAGCGAATCGAGGAGCTTACCCGAAGCGGAGACGAAACAAGGTAAGGATTGCGTTTGACCGTTGTTGGAAAGGGGGAATTAGAATCGCCTCTGGTCATTTTATGACGTCATGTCTCGACGAACCAATGACATTCGACGGCAACAAACGGCTGCATGTTTTTTTTTTTTTTATTTTCCTTTTTTTAACGTTTAGTAGGGAGATTGGTGGCCGAGTGAGCTAGCGTACCCCAGGGGCCTTGGCGAAAAGGTCGGCGAGAAATCCGGCGGTTGTGATTGGTCAACGCCTCACTTGACCTTGGCGCCGGCCAATCATAGCCGCAAGATTTTAGCTGACTTTTTCGTCAAATCTCCAGAGTAGTCCCCAGCTCTTAGCACATGAAGCGAAAGCTCGCTCTGCAAAACCCAGGGCATATCCATGCAGAGATGCGGGGCTCAATCCCCACCGCTGCCCGTTTCGATCTGGATGTGCACCGTGGCGGCGTGCGGCCGCGTATCACCACTGCGTGGTGCATGTTAAAGACCTTAGGATAGCGATTGTACTGCATTGGCTAAATTGACCATCTAAAGCTGAGAGACAAGTCGCCCGTTGAGGCAGACTAACTTCAGGCTGTATAAACATGCATACAACACAATGTAATTTTAATGCTTTAACATTAAACGCTCGTTTTCAAGAAAACTCGCATATTATCAGTCTGTAGGTCTGTTCGCCAGCGCCATGCATGAAGTCGCGAGGAGAGTGGGGTGGTGAGGAGGTGTTTATAGCAGCAAGGTAGTGCGCAGTCTTTCATTACCTTAAGGTGTTTACAGATTTAATGTTTCGCCACGGCGGTGGGGAGAGAGAAAGAGGATGGCGCGTGCTAACTTCAGCGCTTCGAACCAATACGAGCGTCGCACAGCTGGTGCGGAGCCAGAGACGAACAGGCGCCGCACCGCTTTGAATCGCGGTCCAGCTCAGTTGCCGCTCCGGCGATGTATGTGGCTCTTTCCACGAGGAATGGGTCATATACAATTCGAAAGGTGTCATAAAGGAATGGAAAGGGGTAATAAACGACAGGACAGCGGTGATAAACGAATGCAAGGGGTCTTAAACGAATGGAGAAAGGTGAAAAGTGGGTGAGAAAGAACCAATGCCAGCGCTTTTTCATCGAACAAATCCCATTGATCGTCGAAGATTATTTTTTTTTTCACATTTAGTGTCGTTTTGAGGACAAATGGGGGTGGTATTTAGGTTCTCCAGGAAAAACTGCGCCAGAGAGAGCATTAACTTATTTAGGAAAAGAACGTCTCAGCTTCCCTTTATTTCAGCCAACATGTCTCTTAAGAGCGATTAAAATGGTACCACTTGAATTTCCGTTCGGTGCGCAGTGTTTGAGGGAAACATGTAGCCGAGGATCGGTGAAACAGCCTTCTGAAGTTCAGTGTTTGTTTTATGATGCAATATCGAATTGAATTGCTTGCTATATGATAGAACTTTTCAGCCAACAACCGACTAGTAACCCATCTGAAATGTGTAATTAGAACGCTCTAGGGCCGATTAGGCAGCATGTTACTTGCTCTGAATTTTATTTCTGCGTGAGTTCTGTACCATTGACTTTATTCGCTAGGGTACAACATCTTACCGGCATATGATTCTCCGATGAGGTAGAAGTCGTTGCCGGCAAGCTCGTGGAAGAGTGTGAAGAACTGCTGCAGGGCTTCGAGCATGTCCCGGCCTACGTCCGTCTGGTTCCTCGCGTAGCCACGGTCTCCCGTAAAACTGAATCCCGTGCCCACTGGGCTGTCGACGTAAAGCATCGAGAAGCGACTGGTCCAGGTGAACTCTCGAAGTTTAGGAATGCCACCATCGGCGACAACGAACGGACCATGTTCGGAGAAGATGCCAACCATACACGAACTTCCGGGACCACCTTGAAGCCAAAGGATTACGGGCGCACTGTCTGGGTTTTCCTGCAAGGACAACGAAGCCATTCTCCTGACAATAAAAGAACGGACCTCGAACCTTACTTGGCAGGAAACGAATGTAAGTAAAGGATTGAAATGAGCTCTACCAATGAACAAGTAATCTTCCAGACAGATAATACTGTGGAATTCTAGTGACATGTAAAACACAAAGGAAACGTCGCGGACACCTCCGGCTGTTGCAGCAATTAACACTGAGGTAAGGGGAGAAAGTACAGCACATACACTTTTGTGGCATTGGCTCTTTGAATACGTTTTCAAAGTCTAAACGTTCCTGTTTTTTCTTTTTTTTTTTTTGCGTGTGTCAGCAGGTTAAAATGTTATGAGGTATACTGCGCTGTGAAGTTACTCTTATTAACACATAAACACGTAAACTCTCAGACGATGTCGACGGCAGATAATAACAGTACGTACTCATGAAAGCGCAGATTAACAACTGTTTATTTTTCGTCTCTTCTTTTTATCGTCTCATAGTTCACGCGTTTATGTGTTAAGTGTAACTTTGAAGCGCAGTATACTTCATAATGTCTAACCAACTAGCCCAAATCCAAGCATTGTTAGGTTATAACATTTTTCACTAATTGGACTCTGGAATTGTTCTGATTGCGGAATAGGAAAACATTGAGTGCTGGAGGGACAGTCAGGTACCTTTGCTGGAAAGAACCAGAAGAACATGTTGCTGCCCATGTCCCGTTGGACGGTAAGGAACCCTGCATAGCTTAGCACGTCCTCCACGTCTCCCAGGGGTCCGACGCGGCTCAAGGACTTGGCTTCATTTATTCGGCCAGCCTCAATGAGAGGTGTCAGGAACAAGGGCTGGTTACCGGGATTGCCTTGCTGATCTTCAGTGTGGTCAATTGGGCTGGTTGAGCTGAAATTTGGATATGCAGGCTCGCATTAAATAGGTCTAGTAGAGTGGAGGCAAGAACAAACGCTTGTCGTCCGGGAGGGCAATGTTACCGTACGTACACCACAGTCTAAGAAATTTAAAGAGTCTACTTTCCTGCAAAGCCCTTGTGAGAGCCAATCTCTGCAATCTACGGAGAAAACTCGGCGAATGGCGAGGCTGACACTATGTCTAGACCTAAAAACAACAGTGTGCGCGCTGTGGCACTGAGCATGGCGAATTGTCGTGAAAAGTGTCACAGCGTAGACTGTTAACGTGAAATGTTCTTTGGCTAGGTCTTCGGCATTTTGTGAAGCTTAAAAACGAAGCCTGGATAAAAGCGTGGCCGCGAGCCTCGACACTGATTTGTTGACGGGCAGGAGAGGAGGTGTGAGGTGCTCGACGCTGATTTGTTAACGGAGAGGTGAAGTGAACAGAGATGAAGGGAGGAGGAGAGGTAGGTAAGGAGGCGAGATGGGAGAGGAGGAATTGGTTAAAAGTTTCTGGAATATCACCAGGGTTATCATTTCAAGTTTATCGCTTCATGCCACGCGTTCAGTTCTTCGATAAATAGCACCGTTAACGCGTGCGTCTGGCTGAATAGGCTAGATGTGCTGCTACACAGTTAATAAACGTTTGTGAATCTAAAACGTTTGAAGTGTGCAACACAATTAATTGCCTAGCCATTTGCCATAAATTCTTTGCTTTGGGTCTACACGTATTTCCTGCCTCGTCATTCGCCGGGCGTGTTCCACAGATCGAAACGATTGGCCCTTCCGAGTGCTTTGCGGAAAAGTGGACGCTCCAGATTTCTTAAGATTCTAAAGGCTGTTTCACATGCTGCAATTCTCGTCCGCAATCGGTGCGATTTCCAGTAAATGTGAGATTAAAATCGCAGACGCACTGTCGCAGCCGCTCTGCGACAGGTTTCCACCAAGTTGGTATTTTGTCGCAGAGTCGGTGCGATCACTTCATCGTCAACCAGCCGTTCATTAGCCAGCTTTCATCCGGGATAGTTGCGTATTCGAAAATAAATTGAGACAGCTTAAAACTTTTGGTTTAACGCTTATTTAATAAAAAAAATTCTAGTTACATATTGTATTCGTAAAACATTTGTGTTTATTAAGACTTTTTGTTGTATTTTAGGCAAAGCCAAACACGTCACGTCCGTGTCCGAACAGCCAGTCGCGCCGACAGAAATCACACGGTTGTTGGAGCATGTGAAACCAAACATTGTGATCGCACTCGTTGCGTCGGCTGTCGCACCGATTTTTTTCGTAACAGTCGCTGCACGTGAAACAGGCTTAAGAGACATGACAACAGTCATATCGCGCGCAATAAGAAAGTGAATTGACCAACCGCTGAAAACTTGCGATTTTACAATTTTTTCGTTCCTTTCAGACAGTGCTGGTATACCTTTAGCATCATGACCGGTGCCCTTCACGTAGACACCGGTTACTCGGTCAATAATAAAGAAATGACTATGATCGGTATCAGTTCTTAAAAAGCGCGGGGCGCGGCGAGTTGCGGGCATCTCATTACCGCACATCCGCCAATAAAAGTGTGGCATCAACCAGTCACAACGGCGAACAATGATGCGACAGACGTGACGATAATCCGCTACGCTCTGCGTTCTTTAATGGCTGTACGTTTCATTAAAGTGCGTCGCTTGCGGTCGTGCTTCGTAATATTAGGCAGTGTTGGGTAAAGTGCATAAAAAATACTTGAGGTAAAGTACAAAATAAATTAGAGGTTATGCGCTTGAAGTGAAATAGTAAGTATACGCCGGCCGCGATCTACTCGAAGTAATGTACAGGGAGTTCCCGAGAAAAGAGAACCAAGTTTTTTGGCCCATGTAAATCAACTATGCGAATCGCAGAATGCTCAAATTCAGTGAGATTGTGGCGCTAGCAGTTGGGAGAGAACGCTAATCTTTGAGAACGTGACGCAACCTCGGAATCAAACGGTAATTGAGAAAAACGAAGTTTCTCTATGGGCCGACGTCCACGTAATCCTAATATCGTGAAAACAAGAAAGGATGGTGTGGGTGTTTGTAACATTTATTTCAGTGAAAAACAAAATGGTCAGCTAAAAAGAAAACAATCTCCTATTTCTTGCTCACAAGTTTTTTTTCCCACTGAAATAGATGCTACAGACCAGGCATGTACCAGGATTTTGTTTCGAAGGGGGGGGGGGGGGGGGGGGGGGGGGAGAGAGAGAGAGAGAGAGAGGAGGTCCCAGCAAAATTAAAGATTTCGGGAAAAATTAGGAAGGCCCCCCCCCCCCCTGGCTACGTGCCTGCTACAGACGCCCGTGGTCTCATTTCTTGTTATGACGATATATGGCTTAGGGGAACGTCGGCTCATAGAGAAATTTTGTTTTTCCTCTATTAGCTTTTGATCCAAGTAACGTCATATGTTCTCACACTTTCGCGTTCTATCCCAGCCGACCATTCTCACGGAGTTTTAGCTTTCTGCGATGCATACAGTTTACTTACCCGGGCCGAAAAACACGGTTCTCTTTTCTCGTAAACACCCTGTACTATAGATATAAAGTCTACTTTCATAATAAACTAGAAATAGTGTTTAACACATTCTTTCATGATGCCCTTTCACTTCCTTATACAGATCTTCTTCTTTTCTTTTTTTTTCAAGGGCAATCTTTTTTTTTTTTCGTGCAAACTCGAAAATATATAAAGTTTTTTTTTTTTTTTGTGGAAATGGCGGTGAATATTGGAGAAAGCCAAAAGGCCACAATCAACTTACAAGGGACTTATTTGTTGACAAAGCGCAATTTTGTGATACAAATTCAACACGACAAAATTTGGGACATGTATAGTACTTTGAAGTCGGCAGTTGCACTTTCCTCGAAAAGTACCAAAAAAAAAAAAGTAAGTAGAAGAACAGGCTCAGAGAGGGGTGTGCTTCAGATAATAACACGTTTTTTAAGCCTGTCTGGGGAGTAGTATTTTAAGTACAATGTGCTTAAATTACTTCCCAACATAGATAATAGTTTTTTCGGGGTGTCATCCACGCCATTGTTATAATTTTAACTTGACAGAACCTATGTTGCGTGAGAGGAGTAACGAACTACTAATTACGTGAATAAAACAGTTTTTTTTTTTTCATTTGAGGCATGACGCAAATACTTGGAATTTGATTAATCCGATCACTGTATATGACGTACCGAGCCTAGAGAAACTCAATATAATATAATCCCATACATGAACTCCACAACATTCCCGGTTATGTAACTATCCTTTGCTCCTGTATGACATATTGCCCGCCGAAATAACCATACATGACGCTTCTAATTTAAAAAAAAAATTAAGAAAACGCTTTTTAAACATTAGTTTTTATCAATTTAAAACAGAAGCTAACAGCCCACCTGAGAGGTTCCTTTCCTGTGCACGTTTCTTTGACAATGAACATCCATAGGGCTACAATTACCCTCATACTAATATTATTGACGTTTAAGTTCTGTACGAACTAGGTGCCTTATGCTTCTTGTAGGTCAGACAACGACACTGACAATGACCGAAAACCCCCACGTCTTTTCTTTTTTTTCCTCCTCGAATCGCGACGCGCTCTGAACTTCTGCTGACGGTATGTTTGAAGACTGCTCACGTCTTGGAATGTGTATTTACTTTGGTCTCCTATCTGCAGCACTTCAAAAACTCAGCAAGCGAGTGCGTCTGCATCCTACTCAGGCAGAGTCTGAAGGAGTGAACCCTTTTCTGTATCGCAAACTGCATGGAAAGTATACATATGTATATCATTTCTTGGTTTTCCCAGTGAGGTAATTCTGTTTCCACTGTGACTTCGTTCTCTTACGATTGGGGTTATATTGTTTTGTCCGCGTTAAGACTCGATTTTTTTTTTATTTGAATTCTTACTGAAAAGAAGACCGCCTTTTTTTTTTCTCTTTTGGCGCATCGAATGTTGACGTCTTTTCTGTTCTGAATGCACAAATATAAAAGCCGAGAGGCTTGCGGAAGTGCTACCAAAAGCAAAAGTGCTAGCAAGTGTTTGTAGTCATGTGAACCTTCATTAGCCTTGCGATGCGAACATGCAATAAAAATTGTTTGGAGAATGTAGTTTATAATTTGCTCTAAACGGTTAACAAATTTCAATGTACACCTTTCTTTAACTAGAGAATTCAATCGTCTTTCTTCTCCCCGATTCCCATTGTAACCATAGCACGTTTTAGAAATTTTATTAGACCACATTTTTATCTTTTTGTTAAGCTTGGCCTGCATCCGCACGTGCGACAATGGGCTGCAAGCACGGTGTAAGATACACTCTTTAGGTGAGGACACGGCGGGCCTGAACGCGCGGCGCGAGGAATCACTAATAATAATAATAATAATAATAATAATAATAATAATAATAATAATAATAATAATTTTATTGCTAATGAACATAACGTATGTTAAGTCTGACCTGCCTAAGCCACATTGGGCTTGACTGGCAGCGTCTTAAAATCAGATAGTGTTCGTTCGACGGGCATCCGAAAGGCTGCATCATTCCGCTGCCACCGTGCCCGCGGCTGACAGTGTCGCCGGCGGCTAAACGGCGAAACTTTGTGAGAGCGAAAAAAATTATCTCGTTGCCATGACACCCCGGTACACCGTGGTCTTTCTTTCTGCACGTGCGACAACCTCGCTGGAGCTTTGCGCGTGTGGGGCATGATGCGGCACGAGCCGTCTTGTACGTGCCCACGGGTCGACGAGTCGCCTGCCGGCGCCACTTGAAACCATGCATATTAAGAGAGGGTGAAGAGCGAACTTTATCAGGCACGTCGCGAGGAGCGCGCTGTCCTCACCTAAAAAGTATTTATTATCTTACACCGTGGCTGCAAGGTGCCCAGCCCCCGTGCCCTGCACCAACGCCGCGTGCTCCCTGACTCTGGCATTAATGCGGGTGCAGGCCACGTTTTAGCCGCGTTTTCATTCTTAAAAGACACAGAAATGCCTTTGCGCGCAAGATTTTCGAGGCCCTGGCCATTGAGGAAAGCGCCGATGACTGCGCAAGCATGCCCACCATCACGGTCGGCAAGAAAGAAAGGCAGTTAGTGAGTGCGGCACGGCCCCGTGAAAGGGAATAAGGGGATATCTTTGTCGGCGGTGGTTTGGGGGTTGAGTCAGGGAGGTGTTAGTGACAAAATTTTATAATTTAATTTATTTTCATTCAATTTATTCTCATATATTTTAATTTAGTAGTGTAATGTAAAGATTTAGGGTGATTTGTTGGCGGTACTTTATGTGGGAATCTTTGGGTTAAAGTGATGAAGAACTATAAGGTCTCAGTCAGCGGTGTGTATATATCTCTGTTTCTCCCTGTCTATGTTCTGTCTCTATCGTTCTAAATGACCATATACCTTGGCATTATGTGCAAACTAGCTCAACTTCCGCCTGTTATGAAGCATCGAAAGCAGACGCCGGTAAAGCAGACGCCGGTACGGCGTCTGCTTTCAATGCGAGCTGCGCTGCTTTCCCCCGGCGCTGCGCTTCCGTAGAACTTTCGCCGTGTCCACACGCCGGGTTTCAAAAATCTGCTTCGTCGAACAACTTCAATCAAGCACAGAATATCCCCCACGGTACAGTGTAGTAGAACTACGGCTATTTTTATGGCAGCCTGCCGCCATAGCGCTGTCCGCCATATTACTGATGGCTAGAGTTAACATATAACTCTACCAAAAAGATGGCCGACCGTGGTCACATTCCCGTCCATAGGCGGAGTTGCTCAAACGCGATCCAGCAAAGAGACATAGAGATCAGTGCTCGGTACGTAACATTGACGACGATGATGCCCCCCCCCCCCCCCCCCCCCCCACACACACACACACACAAAAAAAATATATTAAACGTTTCCGCGTTACCACGGCTACGGTGGGTGCTCACGGGCTCTGGGCACCGATGAGTTAGGACCGAAAGGAAGGTGCGTCGATTTTTTCTATTAATTTTTTAATATCAAGTAACCGCTAACCTTGTTCGCCGAATAAGATGGCCGGCTCGTTTGCTCGCTCTGGTTGCGCTGGTATTGCGTTTTAAACTCTACGCCTCAGACGCTAAGCCTAACACTTGACTTCGATGTGTTTCGAGGACAGAGCGAGAGACGAGACAGCGAGGAGCAAGTCACGCACCGCTCGAAACGAAGGAAAGAACTTTAATAAAAACAAACCATTGTCGCCGCAGGCCGGGAACGTGGATTGAGGAACTCACACGAGTACGAACGCTACACCGTACGCGCTTCGCTTCGACCTCCATATTGGGGATCGCGACTGCTGCGCCGCGACTCGGTTCTGAAACGAAGCTTGGGAGTTTCGGTACTCTGGGAACGTTCAGTGACTCTAGCCCTGCCTTTCTCATTCTTTCGGTGATTACAGCCAATATCAAACTCAAAGAAAAGGTCGTCCCCTTTTTCGACCAAACCTCACCGTTAGTGGTTCCCCGCCCCGCCTGAAGTGACAAACAGACCGAAGCTTGACCAGAGGAACCGCAAAGTGGCGACGCCACGATGGACGCCTCCGCCGCTTTGCGGCTACTCCCGTCAAGCTTCAGCCTCTTTCCCATTCCCCGCCCCAAGCAACAAACAAACCGAAGCTTGACGAGGATAGCCACGAAGCGGCAACACGACGACAGACGCGTGCGCCGCTTTGCGGCATGCAGCGACGCCAGGACCGACGCGTCCGCCGGTTTGCGGCTACTCACTTCGAGCTTCAACTTGTTTCCCGCGCGGGGGCGGATCGGAGATCCGATCCAATAACGATGACGTCGTCGTGCGTGGGCCTTATCTTCTAGGTGCTATTGATGTCGCCCACTCTATTCGCCAGTGAACATAATTGGCAAGTGATTGGTTCGCTCGTCGAAAGAGCGCGGGACGAAAACCTGTCTGCGAATAAACTTTGTCATCATGTCCAAGGCCACTTCCGGTTGATCTTGGGGAACCAAGTGTCCGGCATTTCTCACCAATATTTCCGTAAAATTGCCGACCTGTCTGACGTAGCCAGAGACGTTCTGCTGGTTTGGAGACCACCAAATCTTCCGCGGCGCATCGTTGAATTCCTCGGCGCCCGACCACGAGATGGTTGAGATCATGTTGGCCGTAAGTGGATACGGGATGATGATGTCCAGTTGGCCGTTGTAGATGAGCACCTTGTACTCCTCCATCAGGGTAGACAGCCAGGGCTTGACGGATTTTGCTAGGTCCTCAAAGAGATGAAACGCAACGATTGATGCCGAGTGAAAAGGAAGGCTCCCAACGTGGATAGCACCACGAACCACGGGGGTTTGCACAAACTCTACAAAGTTTTCGTTTGACTTGGACGTCACGGTGTGCAAGAAGTTAAAGTCGCTCTGGAAACCGGTAACTTTCCTGAAGTAGCACGTCGTATTTCTATAACACGGAAGTATAGAATCGAATTTCTTGACAGCGTCGGCGTAACGCTCGTTTTCGATGTCGTGCTTGACTTCGTCGCATAGATGGCGAAATATTGCAGCTTGGTTGCGGTCTACGAGACCGATCTGGTAGAAGTAGTCCGCATAGTCCAGCATGGATTCCATCTCCACCAGACCATCCCCGATTGTGATGCCCTTCAGGTGTATTCGTACTCTGGGCTGGACGGCCGTGTGAATTGCGTACGCAACGGTGACGGCAAACTTTCCTGGGTGGAATAGAAAAAAACAACATATAAACAACGAGCAGGAGAAAGTTAACAAAAACAAAATACTAAAACAAAAGCCTAAAATGCCTGCTGTCTAAGTAAAGACTGTAAAGCGGCCGTCACACCGCTCATGCATCATCCAAGAGACACGCTGTTCGTTGCAGACATGACGATAAAATTATCATAAAAGGTTGCGTTAAAATAATTGTACTTTACTTCAAGTACATTTAAACGAGTGTACTTACTACTTTACTTGAAGTACATCACGTCTCATTTACTTTGTACTTCAAGTACCTTTTAGATGTACTTTACCCAACACTGCCTAGTAACGTTATTTGAATGCGGCTCGTAGACTGGACCCGAGCATTGCGTGACCACTCGATTTGGGCTCGTGATACTCGGTAGCTCGTCAAGCATTCGGGTGTCCAATCGCTGCAAATAACTGAACCATAACAATGCCTGAAACTCGACGCATGGCATGTGCTTTTCCAACCCCAGCGTGTGGCTAGGACGAACATTGGCAGCACATAATCGTCAACACGTGCCGCTTGTTCTCGCGGCTCGTTTTTTTTTTTTTTTTTTTAATATTTTCTGCAACTTTTATTTCATGAGGTGAAAAATGAACGCCTGTTTTATAGGTCATAAACGTCAGGGATTGGTTATAAGCTGTATTTGAACAAAGTACAAAAATCGATGCACCGCACCTTTAAAGAGATACTGAACCGAAATTTGGAACTCACAAAGCAAGGCTGGAGTGATAGGCGGGACGCTGCCAAGCCCTAAAGCATCATTCATACAGCGATATTTCTAACGGATGGTTGTATTTTTGGAAAATAAGTGCGCAATTGAACACGGCCGACGAGGCCGACGAGACATCCTACATAACGATTCTCATTCCCTCTCATTTTCGCTTCGTCTCCTCGAGCTTTTGAACCGAAGCGAGAAGGAGGGACGCGAGGACGCTTATCCTCGTTCTCGGCTGGTCTGGGAGGATCGTGACGACATAGTCCTCGTTTGATCGCGCCCTTCTTTTCTAAAAGACGGTCATTCGTTTGAGATATCGATGTATGAGAGATGGTTTGGAGTTCTTAGCATCCCGTTCAACACTTCTACGGCCTTATTCGCGAAATTCAAATTTCGGTTCAGCATCTCTTTAACGGCTATAAAGCTGTACAGCATTTGTTTAACGAAAAAATAAATCACCGACGACTGAGCTGTTTCAACTCTCGGTCAACTATTAGGGTGAAACTTACAATTAAACCGCAACGCGTTGTCAATTAACCTGCTCTTTCTTGCTATGAGTCGTATTTCTGCGTGGGCTCCGCATCACAGGACTAGCTATAGGATTCAAGATCTCACCGCCGAAAGAGTCTCCGCAGACATAAAACTCGTTGTCCGCGAGTTCGTGGAAGAGCGTGAAGAACTGCTGTAGGGCTTCATGCATGTCGCGGCCCACGTCCGTCTGGTTATTTGCATAGCCCTGGTCCTTCTCAGTGAAGCTGTATCCCGTGCCCACTGGGTTGTCTACATAGAGCACCGAGAAGCTTCTAGTCCACGTGAGTTCCCGAAGTTTTGGATTGCCATCATCGTCCACGAAGAACGGGCCATGTTCCGTGAAGAGACCATACATGGACGAACTTCCGGGACCACCAGAGAGCCAAAGGATCACAGGAGCAATCTCCAAGCTCTCCTGCAAAAAAAAAAAAAAAAAAAAAAAAAAAAAAAAAAAGTCACTTTTTTAAGAATTGGAGATTCTAATATATTCCAATTTTTCTAAATGCACAATCCATTATTGATTACTTTAATTGGAAAGAAAAACAAAGAAAGGAAAGGATGAAGGTTTACTGTACCAAGAGACATGACTTCCGCGACTATACTGTGCAATATTACCGTATAGGTTTCTAGGTATGTGCTAGTTCGTGCGAAAAAATGGCACACGCTGGTAACTGTTGCAACATCTGATGTATTTTTGTCTTAGTTTTCAAAAAGGAAAATAGTCTAATGGAGCACTACACTACCTCGCGTTAGTTCTATTGATGGCATAAATACGTCGCGATTGTGCATACATTTCCGTGCCTAGAGGACTTTCCTTTCTTTTCTTGCAGTGAACTTGTTCGTTTATTGAAGAATCAGAAGGGTGGTACACATTTTCAGGAACGCGAAATGAGAGGACGTTGGATAGTGGCAGGAAAGTAAGGTATACCTTGGCCGGGAAGAACCAGAAGAACATGTTGCTTCCCATGTCAGATTGGACGGTGAGGAATCCTGCGTAGCTCGGCACATCGTCCACGTCCCCCAGGGGTCCCACTCGGCTCAAGGACTTGGCTTCGTCCAGACGGCCGGCCTCGATGAGAGGTGTCAAAAACAAGGGCTGGTTCTCCGGGTCACCTGGTTGATCTCCAGTGTTGTTTACTGACCTGCATGGGCCAGCTCGTTGGAAGTTTGGGTTGGAGTTGCAATGTGCACGATCGCCTAAAATTGGTGCTTATTTAGTTATGACGATATTGAGCAGGAGATCGAACCCCCTTGTTATCCCCATCCTCGGTGTTTACTCAACACAAGGCCTGCGGACATGCCAACAGGCCTTATGGGCATGTCCATGTCATCTTCTACAATAGAGCGCGGGACACAGTGTAAAGTAAAAAGTACTAACAATCGACGAAGCGACGTTAAAGGGAAGATAGGGTACTTCTACATTTGAGAAAAAACGCTTGAATTGCGTTCATTTGGCCTTTAGAATAACAGATATCAAAATTATATTTCAATGCGACGCGCCGGAGAGCCACAAGAGCAATTTCAAAATAGGGCTGAAGCCCTGCCCCCCTAGCCTTGGGCAGCCAAAAGATCCGTCGATGACGTCACGGACAGCGACTGTCGCGTTTTTCTCGCGTTTAGCAATACTTACGCAGCAAATGGTTTGGGTATTCGGGTTCACGGGGTAAAAATACACTAGAATTCACTTCTAAGTCATTTTTTCCAAGAAGCTCCGTAGCTTCCCTTTAAGTGACGGATGTATCCTCAGAGAATGCGAGCTTGACCCGCTTCGGCCTTTGTGCGGAGCTGGGACCGTGTATGCTGCATTGTTCATGCAGGCCGAGGTGGAAACAAAAGAGCCCTCCTCCCCTCCACCGGAGAACACGAACTCCAGCCGAACGCTGACGCCGCGTTCGGTTATGTCGGCCGAGCGCTGAATCATTGTATTTGTTCATCAGATAAAAGATAATGTTGTACACTACAGGATGATATATAACACATAATTTTAGCAAGCTTGAACACGCCACGATCGCATTTCGAAAACGTGCTGAAAGCGTCATATGTCATGGCCGCCGTGGGACCGCAGCCTTAAGTTAACCGCTTGGAGCGTCACGGTCGCTCCTCCTCCCCAATATCTCCGTGGCACCCTCTTACGGTTCCTACCCGTGATGTTACGACCAAAATTATCAGCTGCGAGCGACAAGAGACCCTTTCCAAAGGCCGCTACGATAGCCCATCGAGTAACATTGGCGGTCGCCATTTCTTTGGGGGGTAATCAAATTGGCGAAGGAAAGAAATCATATTTTTGGTTATTTATTTCTAGGCTAGGTGGCGCAAGCTACCGCCCGTTATGAATGGTAAAGCCGCTAGCATCCATTCATCCTTGGGCAAGAAGCGTGTGATTGGACCCGAGTCCTCACCGAACGCTAACGCGGCACTCATTCCTGATAAGAGCTGGGCCGAGTTCATGCCGAACGCTGACGAAGTTCTCGTGTACAAAAGATGCCCAGAGTCCATGCCCATGCAATGGCGAACTCGAGTACAATGGACCTTTCTGGCGGAGTCCCTTATGTACACCGCGTGGGTTTCTGGAACATTTGGACATTCGGAACTCGATCAGACGACAATGTTATCGAACTTACGAGAACGCAAAGTTGAAAGAATGAATGAAAGAACATTCCGCTGACTGGGATCGAACCTAGACCTTCCGCGCGATAGTCAAGAGCGGTAACCATCCGACCACGCACGCGCTCGCTCGGCGACGCGCCTGGCAATATCACATATGGTGGGAGCTGGAGAAAAAGCTGGCAAAGCAGCTTGACGGGCCTTCAGCCCCCACAACTAGTACACAGCGGGGTCCAAGTTTCATACAAAGCAAGGAAAAAGTAAAAGCAAAATAGACGGAAACCACCACAAAACGCTAATAAAACAAAAAGAGGTATAGTGGTAAAACAAAAAGAGATTAGATAAAAAGAGGCAACAGGTATGCGGGGTAGACCATTTCAGCTCACATTCTTACACTCTTTCACATTCGCACCCTCTTCGAGGGACCTGCACGACCTTGACGTCGTCCTAGAGGTCCTTGAGGTCGTCTTAGAATTCGTCCTAAACGTCATCCTTGAGGTCATCTTAGAGTTCGTTTTTAAAGGGACAGTGACACCCCAAAGAATGTATTTCATTTTTTGCCGGGCGATTTGTTATGGTGTCGGAAAACTACCCAATTAATATTTTGCAACAGAGTTACGTATATTTTTATGAAAGCCAAAAAACGCAACTGCTCGAAACCGAAACTGAAACACGCGCACGCAGGTCGGAGAAGTGGAGAGGAGCGAGTGAGTGGTGGAAGCGAAACTGGCTACACCCGACCGCGCGCTTTTTTTTTTCTCCTCCAATTAATTTTTTTTTTTTTGTGCGCAGCAGACGACATGCGTTGCGGGAACTGTTTGCCATGCGATTGATTCCTTTGCAGTTATGTTTGTTCCGCTCATTGTTGAGATGAGCAGTGAGTGCCCGTAGTGAATTTTCGTGATCGGCTCCGTGAAGAATACCCCTAATATGTTGCGTGAAGAGCTGCCTCACATATACTGCGTCCGAAAAAAAAGTGGCATTGTGCGGCAGAGTTTGCACAAGTTTCCGAAAGATCAACGGAATCGGGACCAATGGTTGGCTGCAATTCCTGTAGAACATTTACGGGTGCACCTCGGAAGGCGGACGCTACCTGATTTATATGCTCCTTGCATTTTGTGGAAAGTGATTACATTGAGTTCGCAGGTGTCAAAAGGAAATCTCATACCATTTAGCTCAGCAACGTTTCGTCCACATCATTTTTTTTTTCAGTGATACTTGTTAAAAAATTAATGTAAATATCGCAAAATGTAAAAAAAAAAAAAAAAAAAAAAAAAAACACGAAAAAACGACACTTTAACACTGGGCGTCTAACACGGTTCCTCCACATGTGAAGCGGGCATCTTTCCACGGGGAAATCTTTCATCAGTTATAATGCAGCGGGTCAACTGTAGGTTGGAAAGTTTGCAGCCGATTTTCTTCCAGCAACATGACTCCCTGGTCGAAGTCGGGCAGCACTACGCATTGGCCACTTTCGCGTAAGAAATCGTACGCGTGCATGTTCAACTCGAAGTACGCACTTCGTGATTGACGTTTTCGCGAGTGATGTCTTCAGCAACGAGAAGGGGGTGACGGCCCGGCGACGTCTTCGTGCAAATCGGCTTGGTGGTCGGGCCTATCGTGCGGGATGAATACCAATTTTTTTATCCGTCCGAATTCATCTTTCAAAGGCAGGCAGAATTCGCCGGTACCGTGAACGACAGTTCTGAAGTAGAGGTTCCACGCCCGTCGTCTGCTGCCATCGCCGTCCCCGCGATTCGCGAAACGACGCCATGTTGAGAATTACGCAGCGAGCGCACAGAATGCTTCCGGTTCTCTGTGCAACTTTTTTTTTTCTTCAATCAACCTATTATCAGATTTTTAGAAGCCACAAAAAAAATGGGGTTTCATCTTTTTTTCTATTCTTAATATTGAATGTGTGCCTTGAATGACCCATGACTTTGATTAAATTTGGTGGTTGTGTTTATACCTTAGAAAACGGCCCGTGACCACGGAGAAGAGAATGAGCGCGACTCAAATCGGCCAGTTCTTGATCGGAGGTTTTCGGGCGGAAAGAAACCGAATTTTGAGCCGCAAACTCTGTTTTGGGTAGTTGGGCTCTCATATATCACGTATAGACCAACTCAACTCTCTGACGTCACGCCGCTGCGGTGGCGCTGCTGTCGGCACTGGGCATGCGCAGGTGATCCGCCGAGGCCGAATCTGGTTTCTGCGCGCGCGCAGTGCCCTCGCCTGGTGGGCAAACGCGAGCTTGTTTGTAAACAATGTGTTGGTCGATAACTACAAACCTCGGCGAGCATAAATACCCTGTCAGTGTCCCTTTGAGATCGCCCTAGAGGTCGTTCTAGACGCCGTCCGTAAAGTCTTCTTTGAGATCGCCCTAACGGTCGTCCTTGAGGTCATTCTAGATGTCCTGGATGTTGTCCTCGACCTCGTCTTAGACGTCTTCCTCGAGGTTGTCCTAGACGAATTCTATCGCAATCGATAGACAACCCACAATAGTGGTTTCTGCAGCAAATTCTTATCTGCTGGCTTTCTTGTTTGCTCGCTTCAACGCGACGCAGTCCCGTCTGATAGAAACGACGATAGACGTCGCTCCGGCAGCTGTGATTCCTCAATCTTCGCTCATCGCTCTGGACAGCGGTAGAGCGGCTGGGCTCGCGTCCTTGGCGGCAAGGGTTCACGCGACCCTGAAGCGCCACTCGGCAAAGCACTAACCTCCTCTCCCCCTCTCACATTTCTTGTGCCGCCCACACGTAGTTCTACGGACCGTTAAGCAGCATAGTACGCCTACACACCGAGCAATTTTGTAAGAAAACGATGCTTCTGTTAAAACACGTCGCCCACAAAAAAAAGAAAAAAAAAACTGGCAGCGATTTTTGTTTATAAGGTTTCAGTGATCGGCAAAGAGCGTGCATGCGGCATGCGACGTCAATTTCCCCGCTAAATCTAGTGGGGAAACTAAACTGGTGTATAGCATTAAAACGTGGGTTTGGGTTAGTTGGTCCATTACTGAATAAAAGGTTAAGAAGCGCGAACAAACGAGGGCCATAAAGTAACACGGACGACAGTCCTGTCGTCCGTGTTTCTTTATTGTCCTCGTTTGTTTGCGCTTTTTAACCTTTTATTCAGTGGTGTATAGGACACGGGATGTCGATTTTCCTGCTAGATTTAGTGGGAAGCATTTGAATTGATTTATATGTCGTGTCGAGACGAGTGACGTCAATTGAACCGCTAAATTTGTCGGGAAAAGTAAATGAATGTTTAGGTTCTCGGAGAGACGCCGCGAGCGGCAGACACAATTCCGTCTCGGCGTCGCCACGTTGCTAGCGTCGCGCACGTTGTGAGACGGGTGCGTTGTTCCGAAGCGGCCGAAGTGGATCAGACCTTTCCCTCTGGATTGATATACATCCTAATTTTAGACACTCAAAGAAAAGAAAACTTATTGAGCATGCATTTTCAAAACCGGCGAATCAACTCACTTGAAAGGTTGCATTCGGGTACACGTTTCTTTGGCGAGCAATAGACATAATGTGAC